ATTTTTCTTTTCTTTTTTTTTTTCCTTAAACAAAAAAAAGGTCTCTTTACTTCTATATATTGGAAGAAGCTGTGTTGAGGGCATTAAAATGTCTACTTATAAAATCATCATAAGTTTTATTTGAGTATTGCTTCTTAAAATATTTTTTGGAAAGAGTTTTGAAAAGAATTAGGTGTTTGTAGATAAATATTTTGGTCGAGTAGCCAAGATGCTTGGGAGAGTAACTTTAATAAGTACTCGACTTCATCGATCCTTGCAGCGAATTCAAATGTCAGAGTATTGGGGATTAAGAAGGTCCATCTTTTAGGTTGGTCATTGAGTTTGAGTTTCAAACAAGTAACGTTTTGGGTGACTTTTTAAAGCTTTAGAATATATATTTGAAGCACAATAATTCCAAAGTTATTGGTGATTTTATCCAGTTCATATCAATAATTTGTCAAATTTGGCTCAAGCTCTTATGATGATTTTACCAAGATGATCCAAACAAATAATAGATCAAATACAAAATTTAGAAATTTAATTTTATTCAAATTCTACTCCATCGTGATATAAAAAAGGATGTTTTGAGTCTCTTTTTTTGCTTTAATTTTATATTATATTGTATTTTATTTATGATTTAATATGAATTAAAAATATGTTGTTATCTTAAATTATTTTATTTTTCTCGAATATCATATAATTCTATTTAATTTCTCGACTGTTCAGAGAGATCATCAACTTTAATGTAAGGTTAACTTTCGGTGGGCACAGGGTTGGATAACGGAGGGAGCCAGGCTACCTTGTCATGGGCAAGGAGTCGGCTCGTGGCAAGCATGAGGTAAGTTGGTAGCGGGTGCAAGGTTGGACAATGGTCGGTGCTAGTGGTGTAAGTGAGCTAAGCTGACTTGTGAGTCACCTCGAGCTGGACTTATTTATGAGTTCGCGAGTCAAGCTTATTGAGTTCACGAGTCGAGCTCGAGCTCATTTATTAAACAAGTTCGAGTTCGAGGTGACTCGCAAGCTCTTGGTGGCACAAATAGCTATGAATATTTATTTTAAATAATTTTATAACTGATCGAACTCGAGGTGACTCGCGAGCTCACGTGCCAGCTTGAATAGCTATAAATATTTTTTAGTTTTTATTACATATGAATATTATTAAAAACTAATAATAAATTATTTAATCCCGCATAAGCCTAAATTAAAACTTTCTAATCAAATCTCGTATTCCGCTCGAATCGCGACAACGTGTGGCTCGAGGCTGACAAACCGCACAAGGCGGAACATGGTTACGCGTGTGGACTATGGACTCGTGTGTGGACTGCTGGTGCAGGATTCAGAGTTCAACTTGTGTGGGGAATGCTAGTGCGGGAGTCGTGCTCGACTGAAACTGGGGAAAAGAGTCACCCAATTTTTTGACGTGATTGACCATTTTCATCCGCGTCTGGATTGGGAGACTCTTTAATACCTCTCCTCTTATGTTTGGACTTTGGACTCAAATAAAAATATGATATATATTTGTATATAACTGTGTCTATTATATATAAATTACAAAATAATATATTTAATACATACAAATTTATATACATAATAATGCACTATATACAAAAATATATATATCATATTTTTATTAAAGTCTGAACTTAATTCTACGTCCAAAATCCGCAAGTAATAATTTCTGAAAGAGGTGGTTAAAACAAAAAATTGGGAATCTTCTAATTCACTTGAGGCATAATACACTGAATTATCTTCCCTCCAAGAGCATTACCAACTTTTACTTGATCAGGATCCTCTCAATCCTCTTCTTTGTGGGAATCTTAAGAAAATCAACTCTGAACTTGCCTTCTATGCCTCTTTGAGGGCTAAATGGATCATACAAAGAGCCAAGGTCAATTGGCTTAAGCATGATGAGGAAGATCTTAAGTTCTTATACTCCAAGATTAAGTTAAGGGCATCTCACAATAGATGTATTCTTAATTCTTCGATCTGTGGTAACTCTCAAAACGTGGATTTCAGTGGGATTGTTCATTATTTTCAAAACCTTTACAACTCCCCATCTTCTCTTTTTCAAAATTTGGACCCTTTTCCGCCTGGAAATTTGTTGCCAGACTATGCTAAGGACATTTTGGTCTTGCCTGTAACCAATGAGGAGATTAAAAAAGCTATTATGGCTGGTTGTTCTTCGTCTGCTCCAGGGCCGGACGGGTATAATGCAGAATTTTTCAAACGTACTTGACATATCACTGGGATTTCTATTTGTCATGCGGTGAAGTCTTTTTTTAACAAGAGCTACCTTCCTGACAGGGCTAAAACCACTGCTATTGCCCTTATTCCCAAGAAAATTCATGCAGATTCCATTCAAGACTTCAGGCCTATTTCCTTGTGTAATGTATTTCACAAGATTATTGCCAAGATTCTTGCTTCCAGGCTTAAGCCTTTCATGCCTTACATCATTCATCATAGCCAAGCTGCTTTTATTGCTAATAGAGTTTCATCAGATAACACTATTCTAGCATCTAAAATACTTGGTTTTATCTCTAAGACTAGTAAGAATAGTTTTTTCTGTGCTAAATTCGATATCAGGAAAGCTTTTGACACGGTGTCTAGGGAATTCCTTTTTGCTAGGTTGGCCCAAAAGGGGATTCCTCCACTTTTCATACATTGGATCAAAGCTTATTAATGACATTAAATTCTCCATGTGTATTGAAGGAGGCCTGGAAGGGTTCTTTAACTCTTCATCTGGTATAATACAATGTTGTCCATTGAGTCCGTTTCTATTTTGTTTTGTAATGGATGCTCTCTCATGTCTTATTGATGACAACAATCAGGTGAATAAGTTTGAAGGGTTTCATCATGAGGATTTCCATATATCTCATCTTACCTATGCAGATGACTTACTTGTGTTTGGAAAGGCTGAAATTACCAACTGTGACAAACTTATGAACATTATCAACCTATTCTCCTCCTTCTTTGGCCTCCATCTTAACCTCCACAAAAGCTCACTTCTTTTTCATCCCTCAGCCACCATCTCTTCCTCTATATCACAAGCGCTCCACATTCACAATTGCTCTACCACCATTCCTTACCTGGGTATCCCAATTGCTTTGGGGAGAACCAAGCTCTCTCACTTTTCCCCACTCCTTGATAAAATTACTAATCTGCTTTCCGGTTGGAAAGCCAAGCTTCTTTCTTTTGCAGGTAGACTTCAATTCATCAAATATACCATCACTAATATTGTGGCTTACTGGATTAGAGGATCTATTATTCCTAAATCTATTTTAAAGAATATTGACAAGGCTTGCTCCAAATTTCTTTATCATAGTGGGGACCATTCTAAGAGATTGCATCTTATATCTTGGAGAAATACTTCCACGCCTTTATCTAAAGGAGGCCTTGGCATTGCCTCTCTTAATGCTCTAAGGTCTGCTTTCAATTGTGAGACTATTCTCAAGATCTACAATCTAGATTCTCAACTCTCCATATGGTTCAAATCAAGGTACTCTTCTCCCTGGAAGCCTTCCCCTCGGAATAGCACTGGTTTTTGGAAAAGCCTACAATTAACGGCTAATCTGTTTAAAAGCAAATTTAATTTTAATATCAATGCAAATAGTTCCATTGCAATTCTTTGGGATCATTGGTGTTCCAGCGGCACTTTACTGGATTCTTTCCCAAATTTTGTCTTAAATACTGACATAAAGGATTCTACTTCTCTTTCCTACTGGATGGATGGGTCTTCTTGGTCCCTTCCAATTTCTCTCAGCTCTCAGATGGTTGATTTTATTATCTCCATTCCTATTGCCATCAGTTGCAGTAAACATCTTAATTGGGAGAATAATGAAAATGCTACATTTAAGGATTTCTATAAAGAATACTTTGCTTATGAAAATGATGTTGACTGGGCATTTCTGATTTGGCACAAAAAACACTCTCTTAGACACTCTGTTTATTCCTGGATGGCTCTCTCTAATGGTCTCAAGACATCTGATGCCTTGAGTACTAGGAATATTGTTATAAGTGATGCAACTTGCTTCCTCTGTCATCTTCACCCTGAAACTACGGTTCACCTGCTGCTTGAATGTGATTTCTCCTTTCAGGTTATTAGTAAGCTCATTCCTCAATTTTCCGGATTTCTTCTTAGACCAAATCTTGCACAAGCTTTTCAGTTTATTTCTGGGATGGATATTACAAAGGATGTTAAGCTTGGGCTTTTATTGATTTTAAATGTTTATGTGTATTTTATCTGGATTGAGCGGAATTCCAGGAAACATAATGGCAGGATTTATTGTGTTACTACCTTAGCTAAAAAAATTTCTAGTGTGGTTTACCTGAAGCTTGATAGTTGGAAATGTGGAAATATGATAAAAGAAAAACTCCGGGTGAAGTACCACTAACTAGCCTTTTGCTGTGGTTTATCCCCTCGGCTAGCTGCTTTGTCATTTACGGGATGGTGAAATTGGGATTTGTTTTTTCTGTGCGGAAGTTGATGAATGATGGTTTGCTGGTCGATGGTCTCTGGCTGTACATTATTTATATAGTTGGACTGGTGCTGGAAGTCGTTTGTTATTATGGCAGGATTTGTCTCTTGTCCGGAAATGCTGGTGGCACATTTTGTTGTTGCTCAATTATTTCTTTTGCTGCTGTGTTGGTGCCGATCGGTATGGGCTTCTTAGGCAGGCAAATTTTTGAGCCTAGGACGATGATGAGTCATGCCTCTCCTTTAGGATGGTCTACGGGCAACCAAAGGAGAATGATCTACTACATGATTGAACAAATTATTCTGAGTCATGGCTAAGCATGACAGTCTTCTCTGTCTGCATTTTTGATTTAAATTTTTTATTGGTCTTTATAGTTCTTAGCATTCTTCTTGTAATTGATGCTTGCCTTCATTTTGTTTAGGCAAAGCTTTTTTTTTTTTTTTTTTTTTTTTTTTTTTTTTTTTTTTACTTTCTTGTAATCAATTTTGTTTTTAATAGAATGGCTAAGCCCTCAATTTTCCAAAAAAAAAAAATAATTTCTCCCTCACTCGTGCCGTTTGATAAACGGGCCACTCACGTTCTTCCCAATGTTTTCTATGGTTTGGAAGAGCCAATCAATTCCGAATGCTTTTATCACATCTACGAAACCATAGGTTTTTATCCCATGGAATTTTTCCGCCGCCGGCGGAACTGGATGCTTCTTGCGGCCGTGGCCGGCCTCTCAACCTATGCCGCTTACCGTATGAAGATCCCGAAGTTCGCCGGCGCCCTCTTCTCGCTAGCCGATGCCGTTTCTTCCACGTCTGACACTGCCAATCTCATCTCCGCCGACCTCAACCGATTCCTTCGTTCCGATTCTGACGAAATTCCATCTAGCCTGAAGCAGCTTTCCAAAATCGCGGCTTCGGACGAGCTTGCAGGCTCCGTTTCTAGGGTTTTTGAGGGTCTGACTGTCGGGATTGCGAGGGGAATTCGGTCGACAGAGGGAAACGATGTAAATGATAGGGCCGGGTTGTCCGATCGGGTCTTGGATAAGCTCTTCTCCTCCTCGGGATCCGGTTTCGCCTCCGTCATCGTCGGGAGTTTCGCCAGGAACCTCGTGATTGGTTTCTATTCAACAGGCGCGGAAGGCGGCGGCGGTCCTGATTTGCCGGCGGGGCGATCGTGGTTAGATCTTGTTTGTGCAGAAAAGTGCAAGAAGCTTATAGCTGACAGCATTCAGGTGTTTGTGGGCACGGCCGTGGCTGTCTTTCTTGATAAAACTATGCATATTAACACTTTTGATGAATTCTTTGCCGGCATCACAAACCCTCGCCATGAAGCAAGGGTAAAGGAGATGTTCGTTTCAGTCTGCAATGGTGCCATGGAAACACTTGTCAGGACATCCCACAGAGTTCTTACAAGCTCGAACTCTGACTCATCGGCAAACCCAGAAATAAACTTGGAGACTGACAGAAATTGCTATTTTGATTCCATGAACGAAGAGAGCAATGGTTGGGTCAACCAGGTTTCATCGACATTGGCAGTTCCAAGCAACACGAAGTTTGTTCTTGATGTCACTGGGAGAGTGACATTTGAGACCGTCAGGTCTATTATAGAATTTGCGATGTGGAAGGTTTCTGATGGTGTAAAGATCGGCATGAGTTCGATTCGACAGGACGTTACTAATAAAGGCTTGGAAGTGGTGAGATTTATTAGCGCGCGGTCCATAGTCATTGCTACAATATGCTTTGTCTTGTGCATGCATATTTTTGCTGGAACGAGAGGTCTGATGCAGATTTGAGCTCTTTCTGCAGCCTTGATGGTTCATATGGCGCTGTAAGTTTCCTTTGACCTCAAGAACATGGAGTAACACAAGGTGGTATTCTATATGCAGTTTGAAGTTGCACGTTTTTCATTAAAAATGCATATAGTTTCAATGTATCTCTTCTTCCAAGTAATTAAAACTCGACAGATATCGGAAATAGCAAAGTAATTAATATATTCTGTCTTGCACAGGTAAATGTATAGCTGAATATTCATTGTGTATATTTTTCCAAATATGCCTTGGATCATGTATATGTGCTCTGTAGTGGGAAAAATGGTATGTATATACTACAGATTTATTTGATGGTAATATTATGAATGCAACTATATGATATTGTGTTACCTATTGCTTGGTTCTTGCTTCAGTTTATGATAATTATGTGATTTAACATATATATTAGTTGCGAATAAGTAGTACTAGTTTTTTTATGAGAGTGGTAGTTTCTTCAAGGGAATGTATTTAGTCCTGCAAATATTTGTCCATGAATTTCTAAATTATAGAACTTATTATCGCAGTCACCATGTTGCATGAGTTTACAACAAATCAGTGCGAGGTTTGTGGCAGTAACAAATTTTCTGAAAGCGGGGACATCAAACTATTAGTCCCCCCCCCCCTTTTTTCCCTCAAATTGGCTGGCTTTCACTTTGGTTTTCAATGATATAAGAAATGTGCTGCTATTCTTCTCATTGACCCTTTTTTATTGGTGAGTGTAAGTATACAAATTTAATAAAAAAAGATTTGTCCTTGAAGTTTGCCAACGACTTTCTCAAATTTTATCAATTAAGCTAACTAAGTTGATCTCAAATTTATTCTGCACCTGGCTAAGTTGCTTTTTAGCCATGGAATCTAGTGAACTAAATGAGTTATTAGAATATTCATGGTTGGAAACTATTGTAGAATGAGATGACAAGAAATTTAATGAATATCACATTGTTATACTGTTGTATTCTTTTTTTCCTAGGTATTTGCTTTTTTGGAGAGTTCTAGAAAAAAAAGGGGTTAATGATGCTTATATTCAAGTCATTAAAGATATGTATGCAGGAGTTGTTACTTGTGTTCAAACACAATGTGGTTTGACCAATTATTTTTCTATTTTAGTTGGATTGAATCAAAGATTAGCTTTAAGCCCATATCTTTTTGCTTTAGTCATGGATGTTTTTACTAGACATTTGCAAGATGATCTACCTTGGTGTATGTTTTTTGTTGATGATATTCTTCTTGTTGATAAGACTAGAGAGGATGTTGATGGTAAACTTGAATTATGGATATCAACTTTAGAGTATAATGGTTTTCGTTTGAGCATATCTAAAACTGAATACAAAAAGTGTAATTTTAATAATAATAGATCTCTTGGGGGGATTGTGACTTTGGGCGATCAAGTCATTAATAGGAGTATACGTTTTAGATATCTCGGGTCTATTGTTCAAAGTGATGGTGAAATAGATGGGGATATTATTAGTATAGTTCAAGTCGGACGGTTGAGTTGGAGAAATGCATCAGGCCTTTTTTGTGATAAAAAAAGTACCCCTCAAATTTAAGGGAAATTCTACAAGATGGTGGTGAGAGCTGTAATGCTTTATGACGCATAATGTTGGCCATTAAAAGAGAAGCATAGAATTAAGTTAAGTGGTGCAGACATCAGGATGCTCAGGTGGATGAGTGGCTTCACTTGTAGAGACAAAATACAAAACAATTATATACGTAGAAAGCTATGTTGCACCGATACGGATACGGCAACACGGATACGACACGATATGGATACGGGACACGACAATTCTTAAAAATCAGGATACGGATATGGCGCGGATACGACATTACAACAACAACATCAAGCCTTTATCCCACTACGTGGGGTCGGCTACATGAATCCTTTTTCTCCATTGTGTCCTATTAAAAGTCAAATTTTCGTTTAAATCTAATAAAGAAAGGTCATTCCTAATATTTTCTAACTAAGTCTTTTTAGGTCTACCCCTACCTTTCTTAACATAAGTCAAATCTAATACCTCTACTCTCCTAACCGGGTCAACGGAAGGCTGCCGTTTTATGTGACCAAACCATCTAAGGCGACTCTCTCTAATCTTATCTTCTACTGGAGCTACTTCAACCTTTTCACGATACGACATTATAATATATAAATCATACATAAAAATAACAAATTAATTAAAGCATAATATTTGAAATGACAAAAAAAAAATGAAAGCAATATCATTTGTAGCATTGTATCTTATAATATCAAAATAAAAGTAATCATTAAATATTTAAATATCTAGTATTACAACAAAAACAAAAACATAAATTGTCCAGCATATGAAGTTTCAATAATTCAATAGAAGAAATGATAGGATTAGCTTCTTCAGTTGTTTGTCTTTGAATTTCTATATCATCTTCATGAATATCATAGCTTCTAATTCAGGCTCATCAAGTGAAAGATTTGCAATTTCAAATATTCTCATATCCTCAAGAGATTCAAATCCATCTCCAGCAACATCCCACATCCTATTGTCTCCTTCCATATAAGTTGAAGTTTTCCTTGAGAGAAGCCGAATGTTTGTATGCACATAAACTAAATCTTCAGCCCGTTGTGGAGTAATTTTACTTCTCTTCATTGATTGGATGAACGAGTATATGCTCCAATTTCTTTCACAACAAGATGATGATGAAACTTGGCCAAGCAATTTTATGGCGATTGTTTGAAGTAGAAGTGTTGAGGCAATGTAAAAGTGCATTACTTTTCCTCCATCTAGTTGTTCTCTCATTTGTAAATTAAATGCTTTCTCCAAAACACTATCTACAACATGTTTTTTTTTTGTTCAAATCCCTCCATCCGAAAAGGCCCTTTATTTTCAATATTGTTATCGCTTCTAATTGAAGAAGATGAAAGATATGAGCATGAGTGCTTGGAAGTGGAATATGTTTTGAAAGCTCTTTTTTACTCCTTTGTCCAGCTTCACTGATTTTTCTTTGTAATTCAGCCATTTGTGATGAGCTTATATTCAGGCATACTTTAATTTCATGACCACTAATCTTCAACAAATGAGCTTTCACTTTATAATATGATCCTTTGTATAAGGCATTACAAAAATTGCATTTGAATACAATATTGCCACCCCCTTTTGACGTTTTACCTATTTTTGTCACATAACCTCACAAAGGTTTGTTATCTTTAATATTGGTCTCTGATGAACCATCAGTATATCCAATTCCTACACCACTAAAGCTCATTATCCTACGAAGGATTGACACAATTAATCAACATGAATTTGAAACATTATTTTTTTTAATTAAGAGTGTAGATATGTTGTGCATATGCCGGGGGTCCAAGGGGGCGCTGCTCCCTAGCGGGGTTCGACCTGTACCGAGTGGTACCGAGTTCCGGTACCGAGCATAGAGAAGTACTGAGTTCTTGTATCGCTCGGAACCTAGCAGTATCGAGTACAGAGAAGTACTGAGTTCTAGTATCGCTCGGTACCGAATAGTACCGAGCGGTACCGAGCAGTACTGAGTAGTACCGAATACTGAGCGGTACCGAGTACCAAGCGGTACCGAGTTCTGGTACCGAGCCTACGAATAAGAAAACGAAGAATGAAGAAAACGAACCTTCAATGCTCACATCGCCTTCATTGTTCGTGTTGTCAAGATGCTCCGTCGACAAAGGATTCTGTCGGCTTTAATGCTCGCGTCGTCGAGCCTCTTTGTCGACGAAGGATGATCATGTTCGCTTCTATGCTCGCGTCGTCGAGCTGCTCCTTTGACTATAACGAAGAAGACGAACATCTGTGTGGAAATGAAAAATCTAGGTCGCCGAAATATTTAAGCCGCATAAATGAATAGGGATATCGAGCGGATAGCCGAAATGAATAGGGCAAATTGCGGCTATGTTTTTTGTTTTTAATAGGACACACGTATCCAATACGCATGTCCGATCAAATTTAAATGATATTTTAATTGGACACGACAAAGCCGTATCCGTGCCGTATCGGAGGCATATCCATATCTGATACGTGTCCGATACAGCATGCCTCGTAATTAGGCGTATACGTGCAACATTGGTGGAAAGGTTAGAGTAGCTCTAGTGACAGATAATATTAGAAAGAGTCGTCTTAGATGGTTTGGTCACATAAAACATCGGCCTTATGATAACCTAGTTTGGAAAATAGATGTATTAGATTTGACCTATGTTAAAACAAGTAGAGGTAGACTTAAAAAAGATTTGGTTAGAAAATATTAGAAATGATATTTTTTTTATTAGATTTAAATGAGAAATTGACTCTTAATCGGACACAGTGGAGAAAAATGATTCAGGTAGCTCATCCCATGTAGTTGGATGAAGGCTCGATGTTGTTGTTGTTTGCTTTTTTGGAAAAGATGAAATGGATGCATTGAGTTCCTGCCTGAAAATTCGGCACAAAGTTTTTTTTTTTTTGTCTCTAGATTGGTTATATTCAAATTGTTCCGCCTCAAAGTGACCTTGTTGACTTGCTGGATTGTTATTTACGATTTCCTCGAAGTAATTTTGAATTGTTAGAGTGCTAGAACCTATGAGGCCATTTTAAGGTGCTATATTGAATGTGGTAAAAAGGCAATAGAATTCAAATGATACACTTAGTACTCCTAGTAATGAATGAAGGATGTCATTCTATTCAATTTTTGTAGTATGGAAGATTATGAGCTTGGCTGGAAGGTCAATGGCTCATTCTTTTATCGTTCTAAAATTGTTGGAGGATTCAAGGCATGTTAAGGACGAATTTATTTCTATCTTTTCGTGGATAAAATTTCTTCACCTACCCCTGTACTATCGGTACCCTCAAATTTTCGGCTTATTATGGAGAATTCATTCTACGTGGACACCAAACGATTCGGAGACCAATCAAAACGTGCCACGTCACCCGGTACTAAGCGACACCGAACACGGGTACCGAGCAAAAAAAGTGACGTGGCGTATTCTGGTAGGCCTCCGGACGTCATCCGGGTCTGCATAGAATATTTTTTCCATACTCTTACTCCAGCAACATTTATAGCTCCCCAACGGCCTTCACTTATTTGTCACCTTCCTACACTGAATAGACCTAAATGCCCAAGCACCAAACCTCAATTGGAAGACACTTTCATCAAAAACTCAAAACATGTAGTACCCAACTATAGTTGCTCGAAACCTATATGGTTTCAATAAGTATTAATGTAGAAATTCACTGTTTACTCACAATTTCAACATCTTTTGCCGCCCAGAAATTAGAATTCATTCATCTAATCTAATTTTTTAAAATTTTGGTTTATCAACTCCTAAAATATTTGCAATAATGAGAAGAGTTGCAATTGTAACAGCCCAAATTCATAACTATCGACATATTGTCCGCTTTGGTTTAAGAGCCTCACGGTTTTATCCTATTGGTGTAACTTCACAGTAGGTCACTCATCTCAGAATTGTTCTGGGATGAGCACACTTAACTGTGAAGTTTCTTATGAAAATTTCAACCATTACATCAAAATACGCCTCGATGTTTAAGAATTTAGCTTCTTTTACTTAGGGGGTTTCACAACAACAACTTTCACCTTTTCAATAATGATAGAATTTGGATCAAATGAAGAATATAAAATCTCATTTTAGTCTTATATTGATCCAAGGCAAGTTGATCCATGGTGAGGTTGTTCTCCCGCTTTTCTCCTTATTGTATTCTATGCTGCTGCTTACAACCACTTCGAAGAGAATCATCTTTAGGCTAATATATCCAAGCATGGATTGCTATGGGAGACTTTATTTGTAGTATATTTCAAAAGAATAAGATTAGTGAGAACCCCCACCTCTTTATGTATGCTTACTATCTTTTATGACACTTTATATGATGTTAGGCTCTCTAATCTCTCCTCGGTTGGGCTCTCTTGTACTTGATCTAGCAATCAATCTCATTGCCCCATTAGAATTAATCCTAGGTGGATAGACTTAGGTTTCATCTGGGATGATTTTCTTATTGTTTTTTAAAATAATTTTTTAGTAAAAAAAATTAAAAAATTTGTATTAGAAAGCTCTTTAAGAAGCAGTAAGAAAGTCACCTCAAATGAAGTCTTAGGCTTCGTTTGGGACGATTTTTTATTGCTTCTTAAAATAATTTTTTAGTACAAAAATTAAAATTTTTATATAAGAAAACTATTTTAAGAAGCAGTAAAAAAGTCGTCCCAAACAAAGCCTTAGACTTTGTTTGAGATGGCTTTTTTACTGCTTTTTAAAGTAGAATTTTTGTATAAAAAAATGTTTTAAAAAGCAGCAAGAAAATCGTCACCAACAAAATGTTAACCTCTATTTCATATTTTAATGCTCTTTCCCCTTATTGCTCATCGTCTTATTCTCTGGTATTAATCCCTCAAGTCTCATATATTTTTATGTTCAAAAATTTTGGTTGAAAGGCTTAATCTCAAAAATCTTCTTTACACTCCATAACAAATTTTCATCCAAGAGGTTCAAAATTCTATTATATACCACTAGCCATCACTATAAAGATTTTTAAAATGCCGATCATATTTCTCAATGCCCAACTCACCCTCACCCAAAAGGTAATACCCCCCTTGAGGAAAGGATAAATTATTGCGTCCGGTGTCCGGACGATCCGGACACCAATCATAATGCGCCACATCATCAAAATACACCGGGATCCAGTGTATTTATGTGACGTGGCGTGTCTGGATTGGGTGTCTGGACGTCCAGTGGCCGGACGCAATAATTCGCCTGAGGAAAGATCGAAGAAAAAATTTGGAGTTAGGCTCTTATGAGTCATGAATGATAGAGATTTTTAGGGTTCATATTTTCACTAACTTTGAAATTTAACTCTAAACTGTATTAATTAAGTAATTTAATAACTATTTTTTCTACATGCTGAAGCATTTGTTATTAACAAGGCTTTTTTTGTAAAAAAATTAAGCATTTTTGCTAAGTTATTATAATTAAGCAATTGAATATTTGTTTCTTAAGGACTTGCTAGTATTACTTGTTAGATCATTAAAAATTGGCTGAGAAGGCATGAATCTCAATGCACATTTGAATTAAAAGTTTCTAATATTAAATTTAGGATTATCGTGACTCTGATTTCAACAAATCAAACTCATAGTCAAAGTGATTAGTACGATGAAATGAACCCAATAACTCCAACTACTATCCAATCAAGAGTTTAAAGTATAGTTGGAAACTTTGGAATATAAATTGTAAGACCAAATGATTTTCAAATATGATATATTTATAGCTAAATAGTTAAATAGAGTGTCTCAACGAGACGAATCCAACAAGCTCAAGACTGCTTAATTCTAACAACATTAAAATACTTAAATGTTGAAAAAACATTCTATGATTAATGGAATTCGAGACTTTTTGTCATATTTAAGAGACGCTATTCTCAAAAGTCTATAAATGAGCTCTTTTTCTACAAGAGGATCTTGACTAGAGATTTAAGAGCTCAAATGCTTAAAGAATTCTGGAGCACCACCTGAGTGCCATCATTATGGGATTGACATCCATTGCCATTATCGGACCTTCGACCACTGCCACTGTTGGATCTTCACCCACGCCACTGTTGGAGCTTAGCACATTGCCACCATTGGACTTTCGCCATCAGATAATCGCTTGACCATCATTGTCGGGCCATCCGCTTGACGATCGTCATTGGACCTTTGTCGTCCGACCATCATAATCAAAACATCACCTGACAACTTCCTTTGGACTTTCATTGCCTGATTGCCAATCTTCAAAACATCACCCTATTGTCGCCTTTGGAACCTTATCATTTGACCATCACCATTAAAGCAATATTTTTTACCAACCACCATTGTGAACTCTTTGTCATTCAATCACTACTTTTGAACCCTTGCCACCTAACTACTGTCATCTGACCTTGGTCGATCGATCATCAAAGTTAGACCATAGTCAGAACGCCATCGTTGGACCATCACAACCTGATTGCCACCATCAGACCTTCACTTTTGTTGGACCACTATCTAATTGCCACCATCAGATCTTAGTCGCATAATTGTTGTCGTTGGACCTTCGTCATCCGACCGTCGCTATTAGACCTTCACCGCCCATTTGCTGCAATTGGATCATCGTTTGATTGTTATTGTTGGATCATCGCCTAATTACAATTGTCGAATCATTGTTGCTTGACCAATAATGTTCGACCGCCGCCATCAAACCTTTGCCGTTAATGGACCACCGCTTAGCCATTGCCTTCGTACTTTCTCAACCACAATCGTTTGAATGCCTTTCACCCTATACCAACTTCCTCGTATGTTTTATTAGTTCTCTATATTGTTGTAATCTTGTCGTCTCTTAAATTAAGGGATAGGTTAAAAATTATACTCAACTCTCACATGATGGAATCATTAAAAATCAATAGTGATTTGTTCTCGTTTCAAGATTTTTCACGTAAAAACTTTGGTGCCACACTATTGCTCTCTTCATTTATTTGTTAGCGCGGTAGATCTTTATGCACAATTAAGATACAAAACTCTCTTACTCCATCATGGCAAATTTAGGGGCCCCTAACAATACTAGTTTACTAATTAAAAGATAATCACATAAATAGGTATAGTTAATTATTAGTTAATAATTAACAGTCATTCCTATAGTAACTATATTTAATTAAATAACTAGTAACAAATCCAATAATTAATTAGCAAAATAGTAATTTTAAACTTTATTGTTTTATTTTAAAAATGAAAGAGTTACTTCCTGTGCTGCCAATCAGATGAAACTCAAAATTTGAATTCTACAAATATTGAGGAAAAAGAAATTCTAATAGAAAATTTTATGTTAGATTATCTGCATATAATTTGTTTTAAGATAGGCTTCAAATACATTCAATTTGTTTTGATATTAATGTTTCATAAAAAAATTATATTATATTAATCTCAAAAGTAGATATAACATTTTTGAGTTTATCCAAATATAATTTATATGAAGATAATTTAATATTTTTACACATCCAGAGCAATTGTCTTTGAAGTTTTGTTCATTAGCTGGCTTAGATTTTGTTTAGGACAGTTTTTTATTATTTTTTTAAATTATATATATATATATATATATATATAATTTAAAAAAATAATATTCAAAAATTTGGGTGAGAATAAAGTAAAATAAAGAGGAGGGGGGATAGAGATGTTAACTACTTGAGTGGAGTTTTAGTTACTATTAATTTGAGCTTAAGCTTAATTATTTAATTGAGTTCGAACTTATTTTGAGTTGGATCATTTATTAAAAAATAGAAAAATAATTTTGATTCAAATAATTATTATAATAAAATGATTAAATTAATGAGAAATAAAAAAAATAATAATAATGAATTACTTAGTATGATGAAGTGAGATAATTTTTTAAATATTTTAAATATTTTTTTCTCTTAAACTCATAAATTCTAATATATTTTATCTGGTGAACTATTATCAATTTAATTTGAGGGCTTGCTCAAATTTGTCTTCTTAGCTCATTAAAATCGACTCACAAGTCATTTATCAAAGCTAAGCCTTAACCGGCTCACATATTAGCTTGACACGCTGCCAGTTCTAACGGCGAGGATTTTAATCGATAAGAAATCTTTTGTTTATTTTGATATTTTCCCATAATGATGAGATTGGAGGAAAATAAATTCATTTAATTTTTTTATAATAGCCAAAATGATTTTATTTTTAATAAAAGAATTATAATTAATATTTATTATTTTTAGGAATGTACGTTAAATTAATTGTAATAAAAATTAATGATAGTTTTCTTCACTCTTAAAAGCTAAATGAAATAAAGAAAAAGAATATTTCATATTATTTTCCTTAATATTATTAATCCGGCCCAAACCAAAACAGCAGAACCCGCAGGATCTAATTCTATTGGTCTCTCTTCTATTCCTATCGGCTATTTCCTCGAAGTGTATAGTCGAACGCCGGCGGTCAGAGGACCAGGTCGGAGGTCGCCACTCATGACCGCCACTCCAGTTCTCTCGCTCTGCTTCGAAGATCCGATATAGAAGCGCGGCGATAGGAGCTCAGGTCGGAGCATTGACATCTTCGACTAATAGAATGTTTTCCTCCCTGTCTTTATTTCTATTTCATTATTTATTGACTATTGTATCTTCATCGCCTTCGGACTTTGACAGCCATTCTGTTGGACCTGATTGCTGGTCAGGAGGGGAACTCCGGTCCATCGGATAGATCCGTCTGCTTGCAACTTAATTACAGTCTGAGATGCCCGAGCTGAGATGTGCAGGGCACTCTAATGGGATCGAATGCCTCCTCAAATAAGGGAAATGGTAATTAGCGATTTTAGAACTTTTTTTTTAATTTTTTGGATCGTAAGCATGATTTTAGAATCCGTATCACCATAACTTCTAGTAAATTCCTTTTAAGCATTTGAATATTTTGTACGCTTTTGAGGCAAACTAAAGTTTCTTTCCAGGAGCAACTTATCTTTTTCTTGCAGTCGAACTAATGCCTGGCAGTATAAGCTTCTAAACTTTTCCAAGAGAAAATGAGGGGTTTTTGGATTATCTATAGAAGTTGAATGTTTCTGCTTGTTCTTCTGCATTTTTTCAATTTAAATCAACATTAAGTGGCACAATGCATATTTGTTTAAAAAAGTAGAGACGGGCCAGAATTTTTAGGAGAACATTGAATTCTTTGTCTTGTACATTCTCTCTATTTGCGATTTTACGTGCAATATCCCAATGCTAGGTTTATATAGATAATAGATGAAAACATCTTTGTGGTATTTTCTTTTCTGTTCTCGTGAAAAACCAAGCAGTTCATTGAAATCCATGACTGCAATCAAATAAAATAAATTTATTAAACTGTTGGACCCAATTGAAAGACTTATATGATTTTAATAGAATTGAAGATAGAATTATAACTTTAAAGATTATTATTGATGCTAAAATTATCAATATTAAAGATGCTTATGCTCCTCAAGTAAGTTTAGATATGTGTTCAAAATTAAAATTTTAAAATAACTTAGAAGAATTAATACAAAAGATATCTCTCGAAGAAAATATTTTTATTGGAGGGGATTTAAATGAACATGTTGGTAAAGATATAGATGATTTTAAAAGCATTCGTGGTAGATATGAGTTTAGAACGACTAATGAAGGTGGTAAGACCATATTAGATTTTTCTTTAGCTTATGAGTTTGTAATTGCTAATACCTTATTTAAGAAAAGAAATGAATATCTCATCACTTATAAGAATGGATATAGTAAAACTCAAATTGATTATTTTCTTATAAAAAAATAGATCGTTTAGATTGTAAAGTTATTCCAAGTGAAAGTTTATGTACCCAACATCGCTAATTAGTTTTGGACTTTTAGAAAAATGGGCAAAAAATAAAAAATAAAATAAAATGTTGTTATAAGATTAGATGGGAGTATTTAAAGAAATTTTAACAAAAATATTTATGAGATTAAGATAGTAGATCTTAAGATTTTATTTGTGTTTGAAGAAGTTAATGCTATGTGGGAAAAAACAGCTAGTGATATTAAGAATATTGCAAAAATTCTACTTGGAGTATCAAAGGTAGAAGTTCTTAATAGTAAAAATAGTTGGTGGAATCAAAATATGCAAGAAAAAATAAAAAATAAGAAGATTTGTTATAAAAATTGGTTTACACGTAAAAATTCTGATAATTTGAAAAGATGTAAAGAGGCTCGTAAGGAGTCTAAAAAAGCAATATACGATATAAATACTTTAGCTTTTAATGATTTTTATAATAGATTAGATACTAAGGAGGGAGAAAGATATATGCATAAGTTAGCCAAATATAGAGATAAGAGTAGTAAAGATTTAATTCAAGTGAAGTGTATTAATGATGAAGATTAAAAAGTGTTTTTATTAGAAGAGAATATTCAGCAAAGATGAATGATATATTTTTATAAATTATTCAATGAAGATTATGAGAATGCGATTGACTTTAGTGACCTTAGTTGATGTGATACAATCAAGAATTGCACGGAAATATTTTAAAAGGATTACAAAGCTTGCTACTTAAGATTAAGATTTCGTAAGATTAGATTAGAGAACTTTTAATCGTCAATCTTATTGTAGTAGGCAGTTACAAATCATAAGTTTAAGCATGTTAAGATAGATCTGAAATTATCACAGTAAAACAAACATGTAGTAATACAATCCCACGGTTAATATTTAGAAATATCACTATGAGGTACCATGCTCACTTACACTCAAAGTATGGCTTAGCGGAGTAAGGTCTTCAGCACACCCAACGAAGCCACGAGGACGGTCGCAACGCCAATGGTCTTAATCCACGGAAAGGTCGACGATGGTGGAGAGGTAGTCGCTGTTGGGAAGGTAGTCGGAGGTGGAGGTGGCACGGGTCGATGACCGTTGATGGTCCACTCGTAGTCCGTGAATTGATCGTCGATGATATCCACGAGGGTGGGGAGGATTCGGTTCAAGTAATCTTCAATGGTGTTGTCAAAACCAAACCCGACGTCGAAGAATGGTGATCGAACTATGTGGATGTCTCCGTAGGTGTCGAGTACGAATCCGCTATCAACTTCGGGGTCGGCCATACGTCATTGAAGTGGAGGTGGGAAGGCGTCGTCTTCTTCTCTTGGCTTCAAACTTCCCCAAGGTGGAGCAAGGAGAGGGACAGCCAAAGTGGAGAAGGGGAAGAGGGAGGGGGGGGGTCGGCTAGGGGAAGAAGAAGTAGGTTTAGTCCAAGAGAGGAATAGAGTTTAATCTAAACCTGAAATTAATTCCAGGTTTAAGTGAATTTGGAGGGAAAACCAATTTGGAATTAGGTTCAAATTTCAAATGAGGTCAAGGGGTTAATGGACAATTAATGGGGAGCCCATCAAGGGAGGCCGGCGGGTTCAAGAGGGGAGGAAGGGGGTTTTGTTTCCAAATATGAAATTTAATTTCAGGTTTGAATGAAATTGAGGGAAGATAATTTGAAAATTGATTTCAAATCAATGGGTCATTAATGCCTTGATTGAGGGGATTAATGGGAGGGGGGCCCATGCATGGCCGGCGACATAGAGAGAGAGGGAGGTGAGTAGGCAAGGAATTGGGGAGTTTCCAAAGAGGGATTGTGGATTAGGAAAGTTATTATGAAATCCAATTTATTTAAAATTTAAATTAGAGTCATGCATAAAACTTTCCTAAATAGGAATTTCCAAAATTGGGAAGATTTGAAATTCAAAATTTGAATTTCAAATTGATTCAAATTTTCCCTCTTATGCCTAACTAAATTTGGAAGGTAGCATGATGATTGAAATCATCATCACAATGGAAAGGGGATTGGTGGGGTGGCGGCAAGAGGAAGGGGAGGCGCGGGTTGATGCTTGCCGTCGGGTTTGGGTGATTTTGGTGGAGGTTGGATTTGAAGTGGGGAAGCTAGGGGTGAAATGATGTGGGGAATAAGGGGAGGATATGTGGCCGACAGCTTGGGGAAAAAAAGAAGAACCGTGATGAAGGAGGTAGACCACGAGTCACGGGCTCTTTCAATGACTGGTGGGTATTGCGCTCGCCCTTACCTCAGGCTCTCTTTCTTCTCTCTAGTGCACACACAAGATGATGAAAAAGATGACAACAACTAAATTTTCATTCAAAATATTCATTAACCAATACATAAGAGAATGGCCATATATATAGGCCTCACCATAACAAATAAACAAAAGACAATAATACCCCTCGGGCTACAATAGTGACCAACTACCCATAAGAGCAAAAACGGAAAACTGAAGAAATAATAATGACTATTACATAAAATGCATCAAAAGTAAAGACTCCATCGTGGCCATCGATCTCCTGTGTCGCCTCTGATAGACGCGTCGAAACCTCGTATCGATGTCCCCATCATTAGTACCCTAAATGAAATTAAAGATTTTTGTTTTTTATCGTCGTATTAGTAAAATCGAAGTTAGAAATGCTTTAAAGAAAATGAAGTATGGAAAAACTTTTGGACCTAATGATATTCATATAGAGGTATGAAAATGCTTAGGAGATGAATTTCTTGGCTTACTAAACTTTTTAATATTATTTTGAAGACTAAAAAGATGCCAGATGAGTGGAGAATGAGTGTGTTGATTCCTATTTTTAAGAATAAAGAAAATCCACAAGATTGTGCGAATTATAAAAGAATTAAGTTAATATTTCATATTTTAAAACTATGGGAGAGAGTTATGGAGCATAGGTTGCTACGTGATACTAATGTTTCTCAAAATCAATTTGGATTCATGCCGGGCAGGTTAGTTATGGAAGCTATACATTTATTGAGAGGTTTGAGGGAGAAGTATAGAGAGAATAAGGAGGACCTGCATATGATATTTATTGATTTAAAGAAAGCATATGATAAAGTTCCAAGAGATATGCTATGGAGAGTTCTAGAAAAGAAAGTGGTTAATAATGATTATATTCAAGTTATTAAGGATATGTATGTGGGAGCTGTACTTGTGTTCAGACACAAGGTGGTTTGACCAAGTATTTTCCTATTTCAGTTGGATTACATCAATAATCAGCCGTAAGCCCATATCTTTTTGCTTTAGTCATGGATGTTCTCACTAGACATTTGCAAGAGGTTGTACCTTGGTGTATGTTTTTTGCTGATGATATTCTTCTTGTTGATAAGGCTAGAGAGGGAGTTGAAGGTAAACTTGAATTATGGAAGTCAACCTTAAAGTCTAAAGGCTTTTGTTTGAGTAGATTTGAAACTGAATATATGGAGTGTAATTTTAGTAATAATAGTTCTTGTTGGGGGGTTGTGACTTTGGGTGATCACGTTTTTGATATATTTGATTTATTGTTCAGAGTGATGGTGAAATAGATGGGAATATTATTATTAGAATTCAAGTTGGATAGTTGAAGTGGAGGAATGCATCAGGCTTGTTGTGTGATAGAAAAGTTCCCCTCAAACTTACGGAAAAATTCTATAGGATGGTGGTTAGACTTGCAATGCTTTATGGTGCAGAATGTCGGCCATTAAAAGAGAAGCATAATGTTAAGTTAAGTGTTGCAGAGTTGAGGATGCTTAGGTGAATGAGTGGCTTTACTCTTATAGAATGGATACATGAGCATATACGTGAAAAGGTTGGAGTAGCTCCAGTGGAAGATAAGATTAGAGAGAGTCGCCTTAGATGATTTGGTCATATAAAATTGCGGCCTTCCGATGACCCGATTAGAAAAGTAGATGTATTAGATTTGACTTATGTTAATATAGATAGAGGTAGACCTAAAAAGACTATAACATATTACAAATGACCTTTCTTTATTAGATTTAAATGAAAATTTACCTTTTAGCAGGGCACAATGGAGAAAAATGATTCATGCACACATAGTGGATAAATGCTTGATGTTGTTGTTGTAGTATTGGACCCAGCCGAAACTTTTGATAAACTGTAGGCACTTAATGGTAATATGTATATCATACACATTTTCTTATATACATAGAGAAAGAATGAACTTTCTACTCAAAACCCAATTTATGACATGTATTTTTCAAACACAAAATCTAGATCATGATCCTCGTTAATATCATTAAAACTTGTGGCATAAAAGATTTCAAGCGTTGTTTATTTGGATTATCAATTGATTTGAGGTTTACAAACATATTTAAAATTGAAAGGAAATTTAAAAAAAATTGTTTCAACTTGGATCACATTAATTTCTTCCAAATAGAATTAGAGATATACAATCAAATAAATTAAAGAGTTACAATCTTACCCAAAATTGTGTGTTGCAAACATGATGAAATGGTTGAGATCTGTGAGATCTTGTGATGAGGTCCTTGTTAATGCGATTAAAATGGATTCGAGTGTGATGTCATTTTCAGGATTAGATGTCATTAATTCTGATTGATACTTTCATATGACAAATTACAATGATCTTCATCTATGTAGAGACTCCCTCCCTCTCTTGTTTGCTCTCTCACTCCCTCTCTCTCTTTCTCCCTCCCTCCCTCCCTCAATATAATATATATATTTTTCAAACTTCTATTTTGAAGAAATTCCCAAGGGCTTTTGTAGATAAAAGAAAGGGAGAATTACATTGGCTTCATGATAAAAGCTTCAATGGCATCTTGATATTTATCTCCAAAGATGAACTCCATCGGGCTAACAATATATATTTCTTAAATAAAATTTTAGAATATTTTTCATATTACTTTATATGCTAAGAACAAATCTCATGTATATATTGATTAAGATGGGAGGAGGAGTAGGAGGAGCATACTTCAAGTTCTATAAATTTTAAAGAACAAAGAGTTTATAAATGTTAAAGAAGCACACTACATTATTTTTTAATGCTAATGAAATAGGAGGATAAGAAGGGGAAGGAGGAGAAGAATGCTCATTTCTTAATAATTTCAACCAGATCAAAATTTAAATTGAAGCAATGTAAGTCTCGCCATCAAAGATGAGTATTATTAGACCAAACGAATTCTGTAGTTTTTTTGGGATAAGTAATCATGGCCTAATATTTTTTTGATGTTATTTGAGTGAAATCCCAAATAATTGTTTGTAATAATATAGATGGTATATATTAAAAAATAAATTAAACATAGCATTTTTTAATATATATGAAAAAATAGTTCTATTAGAATATTTCAAGTGAATTAATAAATTTTCCCTCGTGAGTGCCCCTTCAAAAATTAACATTATAATGTTAAGTATTACTTACCCAAATTTTGTGAGGTAATCACAGGTTTTGAAAATACCATATGAACTTGCCAAGTTGAGGTGATTTAATGGAGGATTGTTGATGTGGTTTGATATAATGAGGAAGTTTGTGGGTTGATCTAGAGTTGCATGAGGATTGTGATTGATGTGAATCAAATGAACAACAAAGACATGCTGAACAACATTTTGGATGGAGAGATTCATAAATTTTCTATTTTGTGTTTGTACAACTGGCATCATGCGTTAAGAAGCTTTATGTATAGCTGGCGCCATTAAGAGATAAATGAAATGAATGGTTGTGATTTTATTTCCATCTTCCTCTTTTGTTTACTCAGTCTTTGGTTCTTCTGTCTCTGTCATCTGTTGTAATTATGTTTTGTTTTAGTATTATTGGGCTGGAGTTTTGGGCTAGAATAATATATATAGAATAAAAATTTTACAAATAAATAGATAATAGCATTATTAAGGGCTTGGCTTTCTTTTTGAAATTTAAAGACTAGGATTTACTTTTAGTGAAGTCACAAACATTCTATTAATTATTGCAAATAGAATATAGAGGATAGGAATATGGAGGTCAACATTTTGCTTTTGTGGAATATTTAAAATCTGAATGTTAGGATTTATACATGGTGAAATCAAGTATTTTTTTTAGTATTGATATATAGATAAAATAGATACATGAGATTTTGTTTCCAAAATGAAGGGCCCATGATTTATCTGAGTAGAATCACAAGTGATTTTTTTAGTACTAGTGTAGATATAAATTGTCCATTATTATTTCGGAAAAAAGGTTAGTAGAATTACATATTAACATATATAAGGAAAAAGAAGGCTCATTCTTTTCACTGCATTGAGCTTTTTCATATGTGGGGGTTTTAGATGGGTAAAAGATCTCTGCTTCTTGACATCCATTCTGTAAATAATTGTTATGTTTTGTCTCATCATTCTTCTGAAAGATTTTTTTTTTTTACATGCAGCCTGTTGATCAGTAAGTTCTTTCTAAACTTGATATTTATTTTCCATCTTGAATGACTGCTATGGCCGAGACTGTTCTTCCATCTATCGGTCGTGTACGGCTTACTGATTTGATAGCTGTTGAGGGGCTTCCTTCAGAATCATATAAAGTTTCTATATCAACGTTGACACAATCCCTTGCTCAGTATTCTGCTGCAATCATTCAGTTGCCCATTTCTGATGGTGCTCTTTTAAGATCCAGTCTTGAGTCAGCTCGGCTTTTCTTCCACCAAAGAGCATACTCGCCTCCTGAGATGGCTCACACTAGTGATTCCCGTGAGTGGTGCAAGACCTCGGGTTATTATGCAGATCCTCAGATTTTGCAGGAGACCTATGATTACAGGCCGGGCTTTACTTCAGCAGATTCAAATGGTTCTATGGAGCTTCCTCCAGCTGGTTTGTCTGATATATTTGCCTTGCTTGGAAAGGCTGCTCGACATATCTTGGATGCTATCAGTTTTTCTTTGAACTTACGCAGCTTCTCATTCACTGAAATTCTTGATAACGTTCCTTTAAGGGGTAGGGAAATGTCTTCCTCAGTTCTGTCGGTATGCTGTCACTCAAGGCCCTCTTTCCAAGGTGCACAACACCATGCCTTGACTGCATCAGAAGATGGACAATTGGTCATGTTCCCAGATCAAGAGCACCAGGTTGAGAAAAGTTTAATCACTCTTCTCAAATCAGATAGGGCAGGCTTGCATATAAAGGACTTTCATGGGCGATGGTTACTTGTAGATGGGGATCTTGGGCCCCAAGATGCCCTTGTATATCCTGGGCTTGCACTTTACCAGGCAACTGCTGGTTATGTAAGTCCAGCTGTTCACAGAACTGAAATAGGTAACATGGATGGCAGTATGTATGGGCGGTGTTCTATTTCTTTCAAGCTAATGCCGAAATCCATGGCGAGTTTCAATTGTTCAGAGATGAGAGCAGCGGGCCATGGTGTTGAAGCCCAATTTCAGTTACCCATACCGGTTGATGACTTTATGCAGAGAACACACCCTACGGATCAACTCCTCACAAAAAGTATTTTCCCAAGCTATGGTTTTCAAGCAGAACAAGATGGTAGGTCTTCATCCTTTTGTTGTTACTTATCATGATTAGAAGTATCTTATTTCTTGGCCAGCGAATTCAAATTTTTTTATGTTTTGAGAGATTTTTGTTAGACCAGTCAATTGGACTTATCCAACCGGTCCACATGGGATCGGCCTAGGCGGAACAGAGGCGAAGTTCCGCCTCTCCTGTATATGCCGATCGGACTGCAAAATTCAAGGGAGCTTTTTGGGAAAGATTTTTGAGGGATTTGGGAGGGAAATTAATGTAGGGACTGTTTAGAGATTTCCTTTTGAATTGTATGCATTAAATAGTTTGTTTTCCTAGGGTTAGGGCATCTTGAATTTGGCTGAAATTTGAGATCTCTTAGGTTTAGGTTTTTTAGGCTCTAGCAGCATCTAGAGATTTGGGCGAGATAGATTATCCTCTCGAATGGAGGATCGACTGTATCTTGGTATTTTCCTACCGTATCTTTGATGATTGCAATAAAAACTTTTGTTTTTCTGGTTGTCATTGGAGTTTGGAAGAATTTTTTCGCTATTGTTTTTTTCGAAATTGATAGGATTTACTTGAAATCTTCAAGTGTTTCCTTTCAAATTGATATCGGAGCAATTTCCTGGGCTGAAATAGAAGTCTTCTTCACTGATTTTTGTTGTGTTTTCCTCTCCGATCTTGCTATTTTTTGCTGTTTAGGGAGGCCAGATTCGCATCAAGCTTGTTGATCTTTGCTATTGGAGCCTAAATTCAGGTTCTCATGGCTGGATGAAAGGTGGAAGTATTGGAAGGGGAGATCAGACAAATGAAATATAAAATTTCAGATCTCCAAATTCAAGTTTCAGATATAAAAAAGGATGTTTCATCCATACATGATAAGTTCAATTTGAAAATTTTCATCTTGGAGGAGATGTTGAATAAAGTGCTTGAGGGCCAAACCAAAATATCGCTGTCGGAGGTGAGGGAAGGCGTTGACAGCCAAGGAAGTGGGGAAAATCCTAAGCCGATCAGACGAAGGGAAGATCAAGAGGTGGAGATTTTGGAGGGAATATAAAAATGCCTCCCCTAAGGCTTCCTTGGGAGGAGTCGGGTAAATGTATGTGGAGAGAAGTGAGGGGGTTGGGCATGAGTGGAGGGATGTTGAATTTGAAAGAAGAGATGATGAATTTAAAAGACGAGGACTTGATTATGATCAAAGAGGTGTCGAGTTTGAAAGGAGAGGGGTTGAATATGATCGAATGAGTGTTGAATTTGAAGGGAGAAGGTAGGCTTATGGTGAAAGGTTTGGGTGCGAATGGAGGAGAGATGATTGACAAAATTGGGGGGAACCACCCCCTTAGTGAATGAGAAATTTTGGAGGATGCAGAGTTGAAGGAGGAGATCTAAGAGAGAGGAAACTAAATATGCCTATTTTTGAGAGAGAGAATGCACATGGGTGGATCTACAGTGTGGAAAGATACTTTACTGTCAACAGGTTGACGGAGGAAGAGAGACTGGCGGCAGATGGCCTATGTTTGGAATAGAAGACTTTGGCTTGGTACCAGCGGAGGGACATGCGACGATCCATATGAAGTTGGAGGGAGTTTAATGATTATTTGGTAGTATGTTTCTGAACTGGCAGGGGATGAGACTTCTATGAGTAGTTCTTCGCCTTGACACAGGATGGTTCATTGATGGAATACCGAGAGAGATTCGAGTACCTTGCTATCCGATTGGACCGCATTCTTGAGACAGTGCTAGAGGGAGATTTCATGAAGGGACTGACACCAGAGATCCAGACAACAGTTAGAGTGATGTGGCCTTGTGACTTGGGAGAGACCATGGAGCTAGCTCAACTAGTGGAGGATCAGAGACACCTGGAGGGAAGGGAGGAAGCAGCTCAGGAGGCTCGTACATGATGACCACCACCTTATTGACATCCAATGAGCCAACATCAGATATTCTTTGGGGGACTTCAAAGGAAAAGACTTCAGGAGGAAGACCCGGGGATAACATCAAGAAGCTCACTTAAATGAAATTACAGGAGAAGAGGGTGAAGGGGCTTTGTTTCAGATGTGACGAGAAGTATACTATGGGGCACATGTATAAGGACCGAACTCTTCAGGTTCTTACCGTTTATGATGATGAGGGAATGGAGGAAGGTGTTGTCTTTCCACCTTACGGATAAGGTAGATCTTTGGGAGGGTAGAATTGTTAGACCGGTCCCGCCAATCCACATGGGACCGGCCCAGGCAAAACAGAGGCGGAAGTTTCGCCTCTCATGCGTATGCAGACCGGACCTCGGAATTCAAGGGAGCTTTTTGGGAAAGATTTTTGAGTGATTTGGGAGGGAAATTTGAATGTATGGATTGTTTAGAGATTTCCTTTTAAATTGTATGCATTAAATAGTTTTTTTTCCTAGTGTTAGGGCATCTTGAATTTGGCTGAAATTTGAGATCTCTTAGGTTTAGATTTTTTTTGGGCTCTAGCGGCGTCTAGAGTTTTGAGAGATAGATCCTCCTCTCAAATTGAGGATCGACTATATATTGGTATTTTCCTACCGTATCTTTGATGATTGCCATAAAAACTATTGTTTTTTTATGGTTTTCATTGGAGTTTGGAAGAGTTTTCTCACTATTTTTTTTTGAAATTAATAGGATTTACTTGAAATGTTCAAGTGTTCTTATCAATTTCTTTGAGGCAGTATCATCAACACTTGTTTTAATAGTTTTTTAGAATGGCATGCTTTGCCTTATAAACAGTACCTTAAATCATAGTGAATCTGTTTCGGATTGTCCTTATGAATCCTTACAATGTTTAAGAGCGTTGAAACTCAAGTCAAAGCTCATGATTTTAGGCAAAGTACAGAGCTTCAGTTTCATAAATCTCTTAGTTGGCATGAAAAAGAATTAAGATTCTCAAAGTACGAATTCTGGCGAACAAAATCTTAACCTTTGCATTAAAATAATGCAAAAATTGTGTCATTGTGTTGTTTTACTTGTGAGGCTTATTTTGTTCTACAGCTAATAAATAAGGATTAAAAAACTGATGTGAATCATAAAGTCTATAATTTTACTTGGGAAGCATTGACGATTAGCCTTAAAGTTGAACTTTGTTTGATTTTTATTGTTTTAGTTTATTTTATTATTTTGAGTTAGGATGTTATCTATATACATTCCTAGGATGTTATCTATATACATTCCTAGGATATTATCTAAATGAAAATTTAAAAACGTATCTATATCCTCTAGTTGTCAAGGAAATTCCTTGAAGGTGGCCTCGGGATTTCTATTTTCTTATGGATTTGTTTCCTTCCGTTGCTCTCAATTCACGGGATTTCCTCTCCACGGTTTTATATTATCTCGGAGTTCTTTGATTAACCCATTCCAATGACTTATCTAATGCTAGATTATCCTATCGAGCCTTTAGTGGACGTTGTTCAGTTGTTGATCGAGCCTTTAGTTGTTTTCCTCCTTTTATTGAGCTCTTGTTAATCTAATCTTACTTCAAACAACTTTATGTTGTCACGACTTTTCTTGATCATGTTTTGATTTAGTTACATTTTAACCGATTATAACATCTATACAGTTGATTAAGTAAAATCTCTTATTATTTTTTTATGATAAATATGGGTTCGAAGTAAAAAACAAAATAAGGAATTGAATAAAGTTTTTATTTGAAAGTGCAATTCCTTTAACTTTTGGGGTGTTTCTTAATCAAGTGAGATACATCAAGAATTCAAAGAAAGGTTATCTTCTTGTATGAGATTGAGGTTCGCTTTTTGTTGAGTTCTTCCTGATCTTTGTTGAATTTCATTTTTTTATGTGATGTGGTTGTCTTATGAAAGACAACTTGATCGAAAAATAAATTATTAACTAAACAACTAATAATTAGGTTTTATCAAATTAAGGCAAAGGAACATTAAATGTAAAATAAACAACAAATAGAGGCAAGTCAAATGAAGAAAATGCTATAGTAAAATCATAATAAAGCTATAAGAATAAACAAAATGCAATGTTTCTTATGACAACAACGACATTAAGCCTTTATCCTACTGTGGAGTTGGCTACATGAATCATTTTTCTCTATTGTGTCCTCTTAAGAGTCAAAGTCTCATTTAAATCTAAAAAGCAATTTCTAATATTTTTTTAACCAATTCTTTTTTGGTCTACCTCAACCTTTTTTAACATAGATCAAATCTAATACATCTACTATCCTAATCGGGTCTTCGGAAGGCTAACGTTTTATGTGACCAAACCATCTGAAATGACTCTCTCTAATATGATCTGCCACTGAAAATACAAAATGCAATGCTTCTTCACCATAACATTGAGTTTGTAGTGTTTTATTTGCACAAAAGTTTTCATAATTTTTGGGCACTAGTGAAAATCTTAAAGAAAATTGGTACCTGTCGGTACAAGTGAGAATTTTGGGACCGTTAGGTGCTCATTTTGCATACCGATTTTATCAATATTTTATAAATAAAATGATTTATTTATGGATATTTTTTTATGATTTTTGAAGTCCTAAAATTATTTATTTGAATTTTATACTAAAGAATTGATTAAATTAAATATTATATTAATATTATATTATTATTTAAATCTTAAATATCTTATTCCATTACATAGCTTTTCTTCTCATTTCCCTAAATCGGCTAACAGAGAGATGAAAGGGTGATTTAGAGAGAAAAGTGAGAGAAAAGAAAAGTCCAAATTTGGAGGCTGCAGAACAATTTTGCTAGTTGGCCTAGTTGAGAGATGCACTCGTCTCGCTGTAAGGAACCGTTATCCTATTTTTGATTTCAAGGATTTTATATTGTGATATTTTTTCAATCAAATTTATGTTTATGTTATCGAAAATCGATAATTATTGTGTATTAGTAAAACTTTTACCGCATAATTTTTTATATGTTATAAAGATTGAGATAATGAACATTTTGAGTATTTATTTGAGAATTTTCACCGGGTAATTTTAAAAATACAACGATTTTTGCCTGCTCAAAAATTTATTTTGACATATAAAAATAGTGATTTAGT